CCCCAACACACACACACCCCACTCCCCCCCCCACACACACACCACCCCCCCCCCCCCCCCCCCCCCCCCCCACCCACTCCCCCCCACACTCACACACACACCCCCCCCCCCCCACACCCACTCCCACACACCCACTCCCCCCCCACCACACCACCACACCCACTCCCCCCCCCCCCCCCCCCCCCCCCCCCCCCCCCCCCCCCCCCCCCCCCCCCCCCCCCCACTCCCCCCCCACACACACTCCACCACACACACCCACTCCCCCCCACACACACCCACCCCCCCCCCCCCCCCCCCCCCCCCCCCCACCACACCCACTCCCCCCCCCCCACACACACACACCCACTCCCCCCCCCACACTCCCCCCCCCACACACACACACGTGCGGCTGCGCAACACGTCAGCGAGCGGAGAAAAGGCGGAGCGGGTGGGATGCGGTCAGTGTTGGTGCCCACAGCCATCTGCCATGAGCTGCTAATGCAATCCATCGCCCATAACCTTCCCCTCTTCTCTCCATGTTCACCACTTATTTTCTTATGAGGGAGAGGCGGTGTCTGTCTGTCTGTGTGTGTGTGTCTGTCTGTGTGTGTCTGTCTGTCTGTCTGTGTGTGTGTCTGTCTGTGTCTGTCTGTCTGTGTCTGTCTGTCTGTGTGTGTCTGTCTGTCTGTGTCTGTCTGTCTGTCTGTGTGTGTGTGTCTGTGTGTGTGTGTGTGTCTGTATGTCTGTCTGTGTGTGTGTGTGTGTGTCTGTGTGTGGGGGTGTGTGTGTCTGTCTGTGTGTGTGTGTGTGTGTCTGTGTGTCTGTCTGTGTGTGTGTCTGTCTGTGTGTCTGTGTGTGTGTCTGTCTGTGTGTCTGTGTGTCTGTCTGTGTGTGTGTCTGTGTGTGTGTGTGTGTCTGTGTCTGTCTGTGTATGTGTGTGTGTGTCTGTGTGTCTGTGTGTCTGTCTGTGTGTGTGTCTGTGTGTGTGTGTGTGTCTGTGTCTGTCTGTGTATGTGTGTGTGTGTCTGTGTGTCTGTGTGTCTGTCTGTGTGTGTGTCTGTGTGTGGGGGTGTGTGTGCTGTAGGGGGGAAAGAGAGAATGCCTCCACATTTCAGCAATCTGGTTCCCAGCACCAGTCACCACTCCCTCCCCCTCTCTCTCCACCCACTCGCTCATCTGCTCTGGTTCACTTTCCACAGCGCAAGTGTCAACCACTGTGCACACTCGTCACACTTTTCACGGTGGGAATGTGTGTCCAAGTCGAGAGCGTGAACACGTTTTAATCCCTCCGTTGCTTTATTTTCTTGATGTTGCCTGATGTTCAAAATCCTGTGACTCTCCAGATCTGACTGTCTCTCAGCCCCTCCCTCCCCCTCTCCAGGTTAAATGTTGATATTGGAGGTGAAAGTGGGTATTGGTGTAGAATTACTACTGTGATCTGCAGACTGTAGTCTACAACGTCCTCCTGACGTGAAAGGCGCTAAAAAAAAAGGAATTTTGTTTGTTGTTGTTGTGAAATGGTATTTCCCATATATCATATTCACGCCCGTGTTATAATGAATACAATCGTATATTTGTTTTTAAAAAAAGGAAAACATGACCATCGCAATGAATAGTTTCCACTTAATAATCTTGGGTGTCACTTTGCGTTGCTTTTTGCTTCTGCAGATGGATGTGGAACTGAACCATGATAAAGAAATGATTTGAGAAGATACCTTTATAACTTGCCTTGCTGACTAATTTTCTACATAATCCACTCATTATACTTTTCACTGGGGGAATGTTTATCCAAGTCTAGAGTGTGACACGTTTAATCCTTTTGTTGCTTTATTTTCCCTATACTGTATAATACTGGATGTTTAAATATAGCTTTGCATAGAAAGTTACTGCATTGAAACAGATCATTGGATCCAACAAAACTGTGCTAAACTCCACATGAGCCCCCACCCCTCATAATCACTTTCAGGTACCCCTATATTATCAATTCACCATAAAACTTGTATTTTCTTAAATTAGCCTGATTTTTATGAGGTTAGTGGAAAATACAATTCAATATATAAAAAAACTTCTTGAGGGCTACTAAAATGCTAGAGGTGACACGAACACAAAGCCACAATTACCAACCAGAACCGCAGATTGGCCACTAAGACAGAAATGAAGATTTCAGTTGATATTGTTGTGTCAACACACACGCATAATTGGAAATTATTAATCTGAATATGCACTTCATGTCTTTGATAGAGTTGGACTGATTTTATGAAGACGGATTTTTACATAAAAGTTCATCAAAACTTCCTCAGAACTGGTAAGTGGTGTCCACAAAATATTTATCATGTTTTGTGAAAGAAGAAAAACAAGTGTTTCAAAATTCTGCACCCCTTTGCAAATGTGTATGATTCAGTCCTTAAGTGGATTGCTGTCTGAAATTTTGATTGTTTAAAAAAATAAGCAACATGTGTTTGCTTGCCTCATCCACTTTCTTGTTAGTTAGCCACTGTGTACCAGATTTGTGGTAAAAGCGGGGAACGTAGACGTAATTATTTTATGATCAATGAAACTGCTAATCCAAGTCAATTTCTTTCACTCTGCAATTAGCCTTTCTTAAACATTAAGGGAAAGTAATACTGTTAACCACACCCACCCTTTTTTATGAATCACTTGGTTAGAGATTAACATATTTGAACACATACAATTCTTAAATCCTTTTAAGTGAAGCGCTTAAATATTCCAGATCACAAGTAAGGAACCTGCACATGGGATTCAATGAACCGTGTTACAGTACATTAGTCATATAGTATTTGGTGGAGGAAGCATTCTAGGCAGGAATCTACTGGATGGTTAATGGTTTTATTCAGTTATGTCTCTTCCGGGATTTCTGCGTGAACCAAATTATTAACGGGCACATATTTTGAGGTCAAGCGTAAAATATCCCCTTTCTTGGAATAATGGATCCAACCGCTTTGATCTAATGCAATCAAGTTTCCTTTCCCTCAACCCAAAATACCATCAACTGAAAAGGGGCGTTATATCAACCATTCATTAAATGGACAAACAGATAGATACACAAGTCAGTCAAATAGCAGGTTAACATTCTTTTATGGCACAAACCACATGCTAACTGAGAAAAGGTGCAAACAAAAAAACCAATTTCCAGTTTGGCACAACTGGTTAGCAAGTGATATTCATAGTAACATGGTAAATACACTGTTTTCTAAGGACATTTTAATATTTACAATTCTTTTTACAAAAAATTTTTTTATAGTTGAAATAAAACAAGTTTAAATTTTCAAACCAATTAGACCTGTAAGTGGTCAACCTTTAAGATTTTGTGTTTTTTTAAGAAAAATAAATGCATTAAATACAAATCTGTAAATTAAAGTAAAACATTAGAGAAACTAATACACTGCAATGTTTTCTTCCCCTCCAGAGAAAGAACAAAAAAGTGTGAATGTCCCAAAATCCCATTTATAGTCTTTAATTATGAGGCAGTATCGCATGTTTCTGGCCAGGTGCAAGTTTCTCACAAATAACGAAGACTGGCCATGGTTGTGTAGTTTCAGTCTAGTACAAGAAATGTTGCATGGGCATGCAAGAGCAGGGAGAGAGAAAAAAAAAGTTCTTATTATTGAAGGACTGGCAAGGTCTCGTAAAGATTAGACAGCAGAAATGCCCTCAGGAAGTCTATAAGACAAAGAAAGTTAATAATGCCGCTTGCTAGAGTTCCTCAGCTGTTCAAGCCTGTGTTTCAGCTGTTCTCGCTTTTTCCTCAACTGCTCCTTCTCTGTGATCAGTCTCTGTTCCATTGACTGGATTGACAGTACGTGCTCCGTCGCCTTTTTGAGTATAACCACTTTGGCTGCTTTGTCATTTTTCGCCACCTCCGGGATCTGATCCCTTAAAGCGAAAAAGCTCAGTTTCAACTCGTTTCTCCTCTGGCGCTCCAGGACGTTGTGAGTCCTCCTCTTGTCGTTCTCCTCGCTGTCTGACGACCTGGGGCTCGGGCATTTGGCTTTGCTGCTGTTGGTGCTGATCTGCTTGAGGATGCGGCCAGTCTCCACTTTGGGGCGCTTGGCGGGGGGCTGCGGGGAGGGTGCAGCGTAGTTGTGCTGGTGGATCGGGACGTGGCACCGCTTGAGCACCAGCGGACTGTGCTGAGACCTGGAGATACCGGCTGTGTTTGTGTTTAACTCTGCTTTCCTGGCAGCAGTGGCGGCGGCAGCAGCAGCAGCAGCAGCAGGCTGTTTCTTTTCAACAGTCACAACGTCAATTTCCTCCTCGTCCTCCTCCTCCTCATCTTCATCATCCTCCTCCTCCTCCTCCTCTTCATCATCATCATCATCATCATCCTCTTCCTCCTCTGTTAAGTGACACACGGAACAGCAAAGGTTAGACAAGACTATTTAAACAAAAGTGACCCAACCAAGCTGGAGCCCCGCCAGCTGATGTTTGCACTGCAGCAACCAACGCCACACGGTTTAGCAGACGGGGAGAGATATTTAGGCAATGGCGTTTTATATCAGCAAGAACAGTGGGTTCTCTGACTGCCTTTTTTTCCCCCCCTCCCCCTCCCTTTCCTCCCTCCCACACTCACTCACTCGCTCAAAAGTCAGCGCTCACTTAAAAAAAAATCAATGACCGACTCCACGCCAATGCTGAACCTCTGCAGCACTGACGCCCCCTTTTAAAAGTCTCACAAGTCTCCAAATGCCCGGCCCCCTTTTACACTTTCACCCAGTTTCCTCCTCCACTACCTGATAACTCTCTCTCTCTCTCTCTCTATCCCTCCCTCTCACACTCACTCACTCACACAAAAGCTGCGCAGTTTTAAATCTCAATCGCGGAAGCTGCTGCTGTTTCTTTTTTTTTTAAAGCCCCCCCCAAGTCGCAGGGGCTCCTGATGGCCATTTCCCCTCCCAGTTCTCGATGCTACATTCCCTGCCTTTGCATCAACTCCCATCAGCTCTTTTATTACCCCCCACCCCCACACCCCGAGAATTTGGAGGAAAAAAAATAACTGGGGATTTTTTTTCTTTAATTTATTTTATATATATATATATATGTATAAATATATATGTATAAAGGAAAAACCACGCAACGCCAAACCAACCCCGACCACGAAGGACCGGGGAAAGGAATGCACTCCCACAGCCCCAACGGGAGAGGGGCGATTCCAATTGAAAATCGTCGGGAAAACACAAATAAAATTGGGAAAATGTTAATTAAAAAAAATTAATTAAATTTTTTTTTAAAAAAAAAGCACTTTTGCATTGAAAAAAAACGCACAGACACACACACACAGATTTCTCTCCCCCCCCCCCCCCCCCCACCCCCCCCAAACCCGTTCGCTCAGACGCGATCCCCCCCTTTTATTTTTCCGGCCACAGCTCTTACCGGAGTCGCTGGGGGTGTCGGTGCCGGGGGGGGTGGCGGGGCCGGGCTGCGCCGGCACTTTGCGCTCGTTGAGCGGGTACGGGAAGACCACGGAGGGGTCGATGCACTCGGCGGCCGAGGCGCTGAGATCCTCCACCTGCAGGAAGGTGGCGGCGCCGCCGCCGGGCAGTGCCATACCGAGCTGAGCGGCCGCAGACAGGGGGGAGGCGGCGGCGGCGGCGGCGGCGGAGGAGGAGGAGGAGGCGGAGGCGGTCGGGGCGCGGGTCGCAGCCCCGGTCGCGCCGCCGGACCCCGAGGATGGACACGGCGACCCGGGCTCCTTCCTGGCCGCCTGCAGCGACGCCAACCTCTCGCTCACCACCTTCTCCAGCTTCGCCGCCGCCGAGAAGCCGCTCCACATGCAGTCCTGGATGATGATGGACTTGAGGACGGATTCCGAGTCCGAGTCGCAGATGAAGCTCTGGTTGACCAGGTCGTCGCCCAGGAACTCGGTGACCATCTCCAGCTGGTCGGCGTTGGAGGGGAAGAGGCTGAAGCTGGGTCTGCGGCTGGGGGACAGGGGAGGGGTGGGGAGCAGCTCGAATTTCTTCCAGATGTCCTCGCTGGGAGCCGGCAGCTGCTGCTGGTAGAAATTCTCATCCTCGTCGTAGAAAACCGGCTGGAAAGAGTCGTAGTCGTAATCGTAGTTGTAGTTCTTGCACAAGAAATTGGGAGAGGACGTGAGTGGCATCTCGCAACTTGGGATTCTGGGGTTTAACACTGCAGGAGGAAGGGAAAAGAGAGGAGAGGAGGAGGGGGAGGAGAGGGGAGGGAGGGGAGGGGGGGTTGGGGGTGGGATGGGGGGAGAGAGAGAAAGAATTTAAAATATTGTTAAAGAAAATCAAAAGGTGCTTTTGCTTCTATATAAAGTCATGACACCCGGTGGGGAAAGCTGTGGCTGTGGCTGTGATATAGGCTCTCTTGACGCGCACCTCAGCCCCTGTGAGTGTGTGACACACATTACACACACACACAACACTGCACTGCACTCACACACTCGGTGAACCCTTTTTCTCGCCGCTCTTTAAATGTCAGACGAGTTGACGCAGCTCTTTAAAAAAAAATCACACACACACACACACAGCGCCGCTCGCTTTTTACTACCGAGTTCCCCCACAACTTTCTTACTCAAACATCGGCGGCGGCTCCAGGTCCCCCCCCACCACCGCCGCCCCCCACCCCACCCCCGGGGGTCCGAAACGCCGCCATCTCGACGCGGACCGACCGCGATTCCACAAAGATTTCTGCCTCTTTTGAGCGATAAAATTCCCATTAAGCCCTCTATTGCATATCCCAAACCCGAATAATCCTCAGCCGACCCCAGAAAATAAACACCAAAAAATATAGAGCTGCGGCGGTGGGGCAGAGGCTGTGTGTGTGTGTGTGTGTGTCGGGGGCTCTTTCTTTGTTCCCGGTCGTTAGGCTTCTCTCTCTCTCTCTCTCTCTCTCCCGCTTTCCCACCTCTCTGCTGCTCCCCATAAACGGACACACACACACACACACACACACCGACGAGTTTCTTACCGGAGGAATTAGCAGCGACTGCCGAGAGCGAGAGGTACGGGCGGTCGGGTCGGGTCCCCACACAGCAGAGCAGAGCCGAGCAGTCAGCACCGCGGCGGCAGCGATATAAAAGTCCTTGACGAACGCAGCCGAGCCGAGCCGAGCCCCGCTTCCTCTGTGTGTCTGTGTGTCTGTCTGTCTGTGTGTCTGTGTGTGTGTCTGTCTGTGTGTCTGTCTGTCTGTCCTGCCAGGCTCCGGGGCTGCAGTCTGTCTGCGGGAGACACAGTGATGGGCTCAGAGAGGGAGTTTGCTGACTGGACGCTGAGCTGCCCCCTCTTTTTCTCTCTCTCTCTCTCTCTCTGTGTCTGTCTCTCTATCGCTCCCTCCGTTTCTCTCTGTGCAACACTGGCAGTGCTATAACCTGGAGTGAAAGACCGGCTTAATGCTTCAATGTAGATCCCGCCCCTCCCCATTTATCCTATCCCCCGCGGGAACATAACGTTTTGGCGCCAAAATATAACTCGTTGTTACATTGATAATAAACATTGCACAAGATGCAACAACAACCCCCACCCCCACCACCCCCCCCCACCCCCACAACTACCATCAGCCGAGCAACTGCCTGACTGCTGTTGCTGGGGGGAGAGGGGGGAGAAAAATACAAGAAGTGTAATGTAAGGGCACACCATTTTATGAAACGTTGCAGTGACTGAAGGCGAGAGAGGGCGGTGCCATAGTAAAGCAGAGCTGCTCCGTTGCCAGCTGGTGGAGAAGAGGGCATTTGCAGAGGAATTATTTTATGGATATCGTGCACTTTCATTGTTTCTCAGTTGCATCGGTGTCCTTTACCCTTTTTTTCGTTGCTTACACCCCCCCCCACCCCCTCCCCTCCCCGGGTGCTCATCTGCTCACTCTAAACCAAACAGGTCTCGAAGTGGACCAACTTTTAAGAGCCAAAATGTTGATTCGATTCTTCTTTTCGTGGGGGGTTTTTTTTACGCGCAAAAGATCAATGAAAGGAGATGCGTCTGAAGTGTCCCCGTCGATACTGTCCAAGTCGATGGTGTTGTCAGTGCTGTTCCTCACTCAACCAGAATGATTCATTCATTCATTCATTGACATTTCAGTTTGCATTAATACAACACCGAACGCTACAATCACGAAGTGACACACGTTACTGTTTAATAAAGCACTTGACACAAATTGAGCTCCGCGCAGAAAACTAATCGACACGATTTTTTTTCACCCCCCCCCCCCCACCCCCCTCCCCTTCCCCAATTTGTTTGACAAATTAGAAGAACCACGTCAGGGAAATTCTGAGCTGTTACGGTTAAAATGAAAGTTGGGAGTTTCAAGATCGAGAGCTGAATATTTTCCAAGTGCTCAGGGTGACACCCAGAGAGAGAGAGACAGAGAGAGCTGTTGAATTTCCCCAATTGATTGGAAACCAAATGAGCGCAGTATTTGCCACAACGAACGGACAAACACGTCTATTATGTCATTTTATTGTTGTTGGAGATATACTTGTATTTGAAGGATGACAAATCATCGGAATAACCAACTTAAACAACTGTTGAGTGAAGGACAGGACAAACACATGATTAAGATGAACATAAATACTGTACTGCCTACATTGATCTGAATCGGATTTGCTATTATTGGTAGTCATTATCTTATCGTTTTCGTGATGATATATATTATTATCATTTTCTTGATTTTTTTTGCAGTATATGATTTATTAATCCGTATGTCCCAGCGCCCTGGGACGTCTCTCGAAGTGAAAGGCACTATTTGTTGTTGCATTTAATGATACGACTTTTATTCCAGATAAGACTTTAATATATATATATATTATATATTACTTTATTTATGAAAGATAACAGTATTGCGGACTCGCAACAATGCAACTGAACCTCTGAAGTGAGTTTGAAATAAACCACGCAACCAACTCAACCAACGATACCAACTCTGTGCCATAAAGAAATATCCTGCAGTGAAGTGTTGGATTGGGTTTGGATGCCTTTCTGCATTGACCGTTGCGGGTCTGCGATACAAGAAAGCTCAGTGTTGTTTCCAGCACAGATCCCCCCCCCCCCCCACACCCCACCCCCAACACCACACACACACAAACCTGAACATGTTGAGTGAGTCTCCTCAAACAAAGAAGGACATACTCGCCTAAAACGGTTCAATCGCGCCCTCTGCCGTCTAAATGCCACAGACGAGTCCCACATCAGTCGTTTCCCAAATCGGGATCACACCTTCCCATTTGACTGGCAACGCGATGCAATCCGACAACAGAGACCTGTGAGCCAACTTCACGCACACACCGGCTCTGCCAGAGCAGTTGGCCAAACACTCTGGGGGCAAAAGCACCTGAAAACCATGGCAACACTTTTAACACACGTAAGGTACATTTCACCACTATTGCATTCAGTTACAACCCAGATCTGCACCGTGTGCACGACTTCATGGGAACGGTGGGGGCTCAGTTGCTGGAACAGCCTGATCTGGAAACTAAGTTTCCATATTGGGCGCCAGGGATGTTTGCACAGCGGATGTCTCGGAGCAGCACAGACCACAGTAATTGCTATTCGCTGGATGCTAAATAAATTGACACATCAGACTGGATCTGTCGCCATCGTACAGGTTTTTGCCAGAGAGGGGGTGACATAGTCAAAGCAAAAAATATTACATCGATCAACAACAATGAGCAGAAATAAGAAAAAAAAACATTTTACTGATAGGAGAATTTCAGCTATCACACATAATTAAAGGTCCTTACTGGGTAAGATGATTGCAATACAGTCCCATGTTGTCATTGCAATGTCCTGTTCCCCAAATCTACACCATTAGGCAATTGCAACCCAGTTAAAATAGTTCTCCTGAAACTAACCCAACAAATTGAAGCCGTCTCTGCATCGCAAACATTTATGTGACTCACAAAACAGTGAATTGGCATGTTTCCACTTTCAGCACCTATCCCAAAAATCAACAATTGTTTGCTGATATGTGTAAGTGTTTGCAAGAAATGGAAAACTTTTTAAAGCCCGTATAAACAGTATATAACAATAAATAATAATTATTAATCCATTTGATATAGCGCCTTTGCAATTACCAAATTGCCAAATGCAATATCTATTACATTTGATATATAGTGACGGTGTATTTTTTAGGAGAAAGAGGCGGCATATTTTTGTGCACATTAATGTCCCATAAACAGGAATAAAATGAATGAGCAATTTTGTCTGGAGGATTGTTGGCCTGGACATCGTGAAAGACTCCCTTCTCTTTTTTAAATAGTGCCATGGGATTTTTAACATCCATCGGAACAGGCACACAGTATCCTGAGTCTAACACCCCACCCGAAAGACAATACCTCTGACAATGCAGCACTCAAAAAGCACAGCACTGGAGCATCAGAGTAGATTGTGCACTCGAAGTCCTGAGTTACTGTATGTTCAGTAGTAACCAACAAACGATCAATGATTGCCAGAAGTTGCACTAATATAATGAATACAACAACAACAACAAGATTCCATTTATAAAGCGCCTTTCACGTCAGGAGGACGTCCCAAGGCGCTGCACAGTTGGGTCATGACCCGAGCAGGGGGGAAATGGTCAGGGTGAGGGAAGGGAGGGAGCAAGGAGGGGGGAAATGGTCAGGGTGAGGGGAGGGAAGGGAGGGAGCGAGGAGGGGGAGGAGAGTCGAGAGGGGAGCTGAAGGCACGGTCAAAGAGAATACTCAATGTATGAGCTGTATGTACCATTTGGGAGACTTCTCAAAGCTACTTGGAAAAATGGTTGAAAAAATGAATGATTTAAGAACTTTCGAAAAATACAAATAGGTACTGGTTGTTTTTAAAGATAATTTAACCAAATCCTGGGTGCAATAATGCTTTGATCTGCACTCTTCTTAATGTTAACATAGACAATCAAGAGCAATGCACCCCAAATTGTGAAGTAAAACTTAAGGTGTAACATTGCTGAACCATTCCAAATTAAAATAGAAGTTATGTTCACTTCTGACAAAGGGTCATTTCAGATCTTGCTTAATCGATCGTGCATTTCCAGCATCTTCCCAGTTTAAAATTATATCTCCTCTTCCCCTACATCATTAATGTGATGGGAGTTTAATTCTAAGCATTTTAAAGGAGAGCATTCAGCTACGTGTCCCACATTGCTGGGTTCCAGAATCAAAGCTAACAGACAGCTTCGTTGAAAGGTTCCTCTTTACAGCTTTGAAGTTCTGCTTTCCACCCCAGTTTTCAATGTGGAACATTTGAGCACCTAATGCAGAGCGATGTTCACAGAGCGTTTGCATTCATTGAAATATATCACAACACATTGGTTTTAATCTCAAATCCATCTGTGTGATGTTTTGAGGCATAGGAAGATTCTGATTAAATAATATATGGAATAAAACAGCTCTTTAGAGGATTCTCCCAAAAATAGAAACGGTTTAAACAGCAAATGTGCTTTTGAAACCTATAACTGTGGGAGCTATATAATACCTGTTATGTGATCACTAACTCCTACACTCCTCTTCTCATATAAGCAGTGCACTGTACAGTCATTAATCACTGGTCCTTTGATCTGTTGAACAATTCTGAAACAAAGAATGGATTATTTTCTCACACTGGTATGAAACCAGAAAGAATTGCAATTTGGTGAAAATAAAAAATCCCTTTGGGTGTGTGTGGGAGAGGGGAAAACATTTGTAATTTGTTACAGGTTAAGAAGGAATGAGTGCATCACAGATGGGTGCTTACAATATTTATAATTCCAGAGTGTGCTTCTGATCTGGTTATGATATTGTTGAGGGAAGATATGTGACAAAATAGCTTGCACATCTGGTGAAATAGAACTAGTAATAGTAATAAACTTTGCATTTGATAGTCATCATCAAAATGTCTCAAAGTACTCCACAGGATTAACTGTAAAGTGTAGTGACTGTGTATTTTGTAGACGATTGCAGTCACCAATTTGAGCACAGCAATATCCCACAAATAACCATAAAGTGAATGACCAATTGTACCTGGGGGATTGTTCTTCTGGTGAAACTCTTCTCTTGTTGGAATGCCACAAGACATTTGACATCAATCCGAACATGCAGACAGGATCAAAATGTAATGCCTCATCTGAAGGATGGCACCTCCAACTCCCAGTACCTCGTTGAAGTGTCACTCTAGGCTGTGAGTTCAAAGTCCTGACTTGGACCTTCCTACTGAGATGTGAGATATATACAAAATAAGCCAGGCTGACACTCTAATAATCAGAATGACATTTGACTTTACATGCATATTTTTTATAGCTAATTAAGATTCTATGTCAGTATTTAATAATATCCTATTATAGTCCCACGTTAATTTTTTTTCATATCTGTTTGATCCTGTGTGAACACAAAACTGGGGCAGGATCAGGCTTGACCCTCACATAATGCTCTATCCACGGTGATCTATTCCCTTGACGGTCACTGTGTTGACTAATTTTGGGAGATTTGTTGGCCAGGACACCGGGAGAAATTCCCTTCTCTTTTCAAATAGTGCTATAGGATCTTTAGGATTCACTTGAACAGGAAACGGTTTAACTTCTCATCCAAAGGATTAACCCACAAAATACACAGTCAATACACTTTACATTACAGTATATCCTGTGAAGCACTTTGAGATGTCTCAACGACGTGATAAGGAGCTACATCAAATGCAAGGATTATTATTATTATCGACTGAAACATGAAGTCGGTCACCTGGGTAAGTAACATAAGAGCATACGAAATGTTAAACGAAAAAAGACCTAGGTCCATCTAATTTGCCTTTCACCTTCCTGGCAGTCACATGCACATATGTCCCCAACTACCTATGTACTATATCCCATAATGTTATTTCCTAAAAGAAAACTAATCAGTGTTTGAAAGAAATAACACTTCCTGCTACAATCGTCTCCCTAGGGAGCCTGTTCTACAGGTTCACTATTTGCTCACTGAAATAGAGTTTGCATAGATTTGTTCTGAATTTACCCCCTTCAATCGCAGGCCGTGACCTCTGGTTTTACTTTTCTGCACAAGTTGAAACAGCCTGTCATGATCTATATTGTCTTGCCCCTTTAGAACCTTAAAGACAGCAATCATGTCGCCTCTCAATCTTCTTTTTTCCAGCGTAAGCACACCCAATTTACTTAGTCGTTCCTCAAAGTCCAGTCCTTCCATTCCCTCAATCATTGTGGTTGCCCCCCTCTGTTTCTTCTCGATTCCTCCAATATCCTTTTGGTATTGCGGCGACCAGAACTGTACACATAAGTATGGTCTCACAGATGATTTATACAGTAGCAGGATTACCCCACTATTTCGGCTTGCTGTTGATCTTTTGATACATCCCAACATCTGGTTTGCTTTACTGACTGACACAGAGCATTGTTGGAAGAGCGTCAATTTATTGTCAATCAGGATGCCCAGGTCCTTTCCATTTTCCATACATATTACTTTCCTTCTGTTCAAATAATAATTCTTTCCAGGATTTTTTATCCCCATGTGAAGTATTTTACATTTCTCCATGTTAAATTTCATCTGCCACCGATCTGCCCAATTCCCAAGTATGTTCAAATCCTCCTGTAACCTATCTTGTACAGCTTTGCAATCTACCACCTTCATTAGCTTGGTGACATTTGCAAAATTTGTGCTTCCGACTCCTCGTTCCAGATCATTTATAAAAATATTAAACAAAAGAGATCCCCCCCAAAAATCTTGTGGAACTCCACAGTAACATTTTCCCAGTCTGATCACATTCCCTATACCACCACCCACTGGGTTCTTCTGGTCAATCAATTGTGTATCCATTGTAATATACCTCCACTGATTTCTGCTTTTTTTTTTACTTTCAGTACCAGCCTCTCAAGAGGAACTGTATCAAAGGCCTTACTGAAATCCAGATGTACAACATCCACAGCCTTACACTTGTCACACCATCAAAGAAAACCAGTAAATTAGATTGGCAAGACCTTCCTTTCATGAACCCAAATTGGCTATCATTTATGATTTTATTTCTGTCCAGATGCTTCATGATTTTATCCTTAATAAGAGTCTCCATAACTTTACCCACAATGGACATCAAGCTTACTAGTCTGCAATTTCCTGGGTCCCAAATTAACAGTGGGCTCCTGTCTCCCATGGAATTGTACCTAAGCATCAGTCAGAACCTTCAGGAGGGAAGGGATGAAAGATTGTGAGAAATCATTTATGCTGAGTTGATATATTATTCTTTCCAGATATATTAAATTATTTATGCTGAGATTTTGCTGCATGTTTCACAGCATGGGATCACTGGATATGGTGGGATTAGAGCAGTGGGCCGAAAGTGACCAGTGGGGCTGTCAAGAAGCAATCCTCCTACACATTCGCACAAGTCTAGGTGTCCGTGTTCAATTGGCAGTGTGTTTTCAGTTTTTTCTTGATTGAATATTTCTTGACTTATGGCATAAATAAATATTCAATCAAGAAAATCTTGGCTGATCATGAAGTTTGGCCACGACAGGTCTGAAAGCATTTGCAGTATAAACGCAGGGGATGCAGATGAAATGGGCCATGAAAAACTTGGCCAATGTAAGCTTCACATAGAGAAGAGTTAGGAATCCACAAAGGACTATTTTTAATACTATTAAGGAATCTTTAATGCTGCCAGCGCTTCAGTAATATCAAAAAACTTTAAATTTCAGGA